TTCTATACCTACCATACAATACCATACCATACCTACCATACAATAGCATACCTACCATACGATACAATATCATACCACACATACCATACAATACCACATGATTTCGTGCCCCTCCCACCCCTCCAGGGAGGCCCCGCCTGAGCGAGGAGGGTGTCGGAAACCCATACTATTTACATGGTGTCGTGCCCCTCCCACCCCTCCAGGGAGGCCCCGTCTGAGCGAGGAGGGTATAGGAAAGCCATAATATTTACATAGTTCCCCACATCCAAAGTGGGGTTCTTGTTTTCTCTGGACACCCCGCGCAGGAACAGGAACACACACACACACACTCACACTCACTCGCGCTCTCTCATCATCAACCTCATCAGCATCATCGATGATGCTCTCTCACATGCTTAGTCACTCACATACTCATCATCATCATCATTCGCACTCTCTCACACGCTCACGAACATCATCATCATCATCATCATCGGCATCGGCATCATCCTCATTCAAACATCATCATCGCCACCACCACTCACAATCTATCATCATCCTCCTCACCACTCATCTTCACCACCACTCATCATCCTCATCCTCATCATCGTTGAGTAAATTGTGAGGAAGTCTCAGGCGGGAGCCCCCTCCCTATGGGGCCCGCAGATCATGTTGGTAATCCGAGCGGGTCATCCAAAACCTGTAACTGTCGTCACTTTTGGGTTCCCCAGGCCTGAAAAATGGAGGAAGTCTCAGGCGGGAGCCTCGTCTGTGAGAGAATTGGGAGGAAGTCTCAGGCGGGAGCTCCCTCCCTATGGGGCCCGCAGATCATGTTGGTAATCCGAGCGGGTCATCGGAACCCTGTAACTGTCGTCACTTTTGGGCTCCTCAAGCCTGAATTTGGAGGAAGTCTCAGGCGGGAGCCTCGTCTGTGAGTGAATTCTGAGGAAGGCTCAGGCGGGAGCCCCCTCCCTATGGGGCCCGCAGATCATGTTGGTAATCCGAGCGGGTCATCGGAAACCTGTAACTGTCGTCACTTTTGGGCTCGTCAAGCCTGAATTTGGAGGAAGTCTCAGGCGGGAGCCTCGTCTCTGAGTGAATTGTGAGGAAGTCTCAGGCGGGAGCCCCCTCCCTATGGGGCCCGCAGATCACGTTGGTAATCCGAGCGGGTCATCGGAACCCTGTAACTGTCGTCACTTTTGGGCTCGTCAAGCCTGAATTTGGAGGAAGTCTCAGGCGGGAGCCTCGTCTGTGAGTGAATTGCGAGGAAGTCTCAGGCGGGAGCCCCCTCCCTATGGGGCCCGCAGATCATGTTGGTAATCCGAGCGGGTCATCCAAAACCTGTAACTGTCGTCAATTTTGGGTTCTCGCGCTGCCAGAACGCAGCTCCCAGGCCACATTTTGGACGCAACAAGGAGGAGATAAGCATGGTGGCAGCCGCGCTGTACAACGCGCTGGACCTTCGCGCCTGCCACGGACGCAGTGACACGCACGACGTGCAGGAGTCGAACTACCAGCGGCCACACCACCACTTCGGGCGCGTGCCCATCGTGTTGCACCTCGGCGATTTCCTGCAGCTGAAGCCCACCGGCAGCATTGGCCTCCTGACGGACGTGAGCGAGCGCCTGGACGACGACGAGTCGTACAGGTACGCGGACCCGCCGACGGTGGAGATCCAGCACGCCATCAAGGTCTTCTCTCAGATCCCCTGCGTCTTCGAGCTGAAGGGCACGAAGCGCTTCGAGCCCGGGGACCCTCTGATCACGTTCCTGGGCTGCACGCGCGAGGGCAAGCCCTTCCCACCTGAGGTCTGGTCCGCCTGGGAGAAGACGTTGGCCACGGACAACCAGGGCGTCCTGGACCCTCGGCACCAGCACGAGAACTTTCGGCTCGGCTACGGCATGGGCATATACTGGGAGACGCTGGCGAGGTGGATCAACACGCGCGCTCGTCGCGACGCTCGGCGTCTGGGCGTGCCCCTTGTTTTCCTGCAGGCCGTTGACGAGCGCGGCACGATTCAGGGCGAGCCCGACGCGGGTCGGCGCCTCCTGAACGTCCCGAACATGCACAAGACGGGGGACATCCACGGCGCTTGGCCGGCCCACGTCGGCATGGAGGTGCGGTTCACGGCAGCGCAGGAGGAGCTGAAGAAGAAGTTGGGGATCGTGCAGGAGCAGCGGGCCACCATCGTGTCCTTCGAGTTCCACCACGCGGACGAGCAGCGCTACGAGGAGTGCTCGGCAGGCCAGCTCTTTCGCCCCCGCGTCCTACCGCAGGGAATCTGGCTGCAGGTGCACGGCTTCAAGGAGTCTCCGATCTACCAGGAGGTCGCCGAGGTGCTGCGACAGGGCGCCGAAGGCGCCGACGACGACGGCCAGGCCGAGGCGCGGGCGCGGAGCTTGCTGATGTTCAGGCCCAGCGAAAGGGAGTTCACATGGCAGAGCTCGGGGGCGCACAGCGTGCGCCGCTCGGGGTTCACCCTGACGCACGCGTCCTACCTGACCTCCACGCTGTCGCAGGGCCAGACGCTGCGCAAGGGCGTCACCATCGACTGCGCGAGAGACGAGGACGCTGGCCGCACGGGCATGTCGGACGAGCAGTGGTGGCTGCACCTCTACGTCATGTTCTCCCGCGCCACGTGCATGCGGAACATGCTGATCCTGCGGCCGCCGCCGCGAGAGTTCCTGGAGTGCGGGCCGCCGGCGTCCCTGCGGAAGGCGCTCCTGGAGTTCGACAAGAGAGCGGTTTTGTCCAGGGCGGAGGCGAAGCAGCTCGCGGCAGAGCTGGGCTTCGTGCTGCCTTCCGCCTGAGCGCGGCTGCGCCTCGCTCGAAGCCCGCGGGGTTGTCCCAACGGCTTGGTCTTGCGCGCCAGCGGCTCGCGGGGTTGTCCCGACAGCCTGGCCCGCGGGGTTGTCCCAACGGCTGCGCGACGTGACCAGTAGAGAACGCGCCTGTGCTGGCCGTGGCGGCGACGGCGCCGAGGAACATCGACATGCGCGCTCATGCAACAGGAAGGGGAGGAGGTGGCGGGGCGCGGAACAAACAGGGGGGCGAGGATGGGGACAACGTAAGGAGTGGAAGGGGGGCCCGCGCCAAGGCGAGAGGAAATATACGCAGAAGAGACAGCCAGGACGCCTCACCAACCACGAGGACGACGGTGATGGCTTTTCCCAGATTCGCCCAGAGGATTCTTATGTGGGGTTCTTCCGTCGGAGTAATGTTGTGCCCCTCCCTCCCCTCCAGGGAGGCCCCGCCTGAGCGAAGAGGGTATCGGAAACCAATACTATTTACATTGTTTCGTGCTCCTCCCACCCCTCCAGGGAGGCCCCGCCTGAGCGAGGAGGGTATCGGAAACCCATATTATTTACATTGTTTCTTGCCCCTCCCATCCCTCCAGGGAGGCCCCGCCTGAGCGAGGAGGGTATCGGAAACCCCTACTAGTTACATGGCTTCGTGCCCTTCCCACCCCTCCAGGGAGGCCCCGCCTGAGCGAGGAGGGTATCGGAAACCTATACTATTTACATTGTTTCCACCCCTCCAGGGAGGCCCCGCCTGAGCGAGGAGGGTGTCGGAAACCAATACTATTTACATGGTTTCGTGCTCCTCCCTCCCCATCCAGGGAGGCCCCGTCTGAGCGAGGAGGGTATCGGAAACCCATACTATATTTACATGGTTTCGTGCTCTTCCCACCTCTCCATGCCAGGGAGGCCCCGCCTGAGCAAGGAAGGTATCGGAAACCAATACTATTTACATGGTTTCGTGCTCCCCCCACCCCTCCAGGGAGGCCCCGCCTGAGCGAGGAGGGTATCGGAAACCAATACTATTTACATTGTTTCGTGCTCCTCCCACCCCTCCAAGGAGGCACCGCCTGAGCGAGGAGGGTATCGGAAACCCATATTATTTACCTGGTTTCGTGCCCCTCCCTCCCCTCCAGGGGGGCCCCGCCTGAGCGAGGAGGGTATCGGAAACCCATACTATTTACATGGTTTCGTGCTCCTCCCACCATTCCAGGCAGGCCCCGCCTGAGCGAGGAGGGTATCGGAAACCAATAATATGTACATAGTTTCGTGCTCCTCCCACCCCTCCAGGGAGGCCCCGCCTGAGCGAGGAGGGTATCGGAAACCCATACTATTTACATGGTTTCGTGCCCCTCCCACCCCTCCAGGGAGGCCCCGCCTGAGCGAGGAGGGTATCGGAACCCATACTATTTACATGGTTTCGTGCCCCTTCCACCCCTCCAGGGAGGCCCCGCCTGAGCGAGGAGGGTATCGGAAACCCATACTATTTACATGGTTTCGTGCTCCTCCCACCCCATCCAGGGAGGCCCCGCCTGAGCGAGGAGGGTATCGGAAACCCCTACTATTTACATGGTTTCGTGCCCTTCCCACCCCTCCAGGGAGGCACCGCATGAGCGAGGAGGGTATCGGAAACCTATACTATTTACATGGTTTCGTGCTCTTCCCACCTCTCCAGGGAGGCCCCGCCTGAGCGAGGAGGGTATCGGAAACCCGTACTCTTTACAAGGCTTCGTTTCCTGAGCACCTATCTTCCCTCCTCCTTTCTTTCGTTTGCCCTTTCGTGCGTACTTACTCGTTCGATGAGTTTCTCCGTCGTGTTGATGTTGTCGTACCCCATGGGTCCCACGAAACCGTTAATATCTTTATGTGGGGAACTCCGTTAGCATAATTCTCCTCCTCCTCCTCCTCCAATTCCTTCTTCCTCCCTCCCCCTCTCCCGAGCGCGAGGGAGGAGGGAGGAAGGAGGCAGGGAGGGAGGAGGGAAGAGGAGGAAGCACAGCGGGGGGGGGCGACGAGGGGGAGGAGGAGGATTGAAGAGCAGCAACAGGAGCAGGCGGCCCAGGAGGAGGGAGGCAGAGAGGGAGAAGAGGAGGAGGAGGCAGAAGAGGAGGAGGAGGAAGAGGAGGACGGAGGGAGGGAGGGAGGGCAAGGAGGAGGAGGAGGACGGAGGACGGAGGGAGGAGGAGGAGGAAGAACGTCGTCGTCCCCGATGGGCACGCGCGC